GCATGCTCTCTGTGAAGTTCACAACGGGCACTTGACAAAGTTGGGTACCAGTCAGTCTAAAGATAAATGGGGCCTCGCCTTCTCACACAGTGGAATCGTTTATTTTCACATGGTTCGTAACATGAATTATTTATAGCTATGGAAAGAAAAATAGTGGGGATATAGACTTGGTGCAATTTCTATGAACCAGTTAGACATGATACGGTTGGATACTGCTCTCTTTCAAGTGAAATGCAGCAATGCACTGCTCTCCATAGAGTGAAATAATTTTTACATGCCTTGTCAGTCTCAATATGGCCATGGAAAGAAATACAGTGAAAGCAGAGACATTGGTGCTGTTTGTATTATTTAGAATGTTTTTGCAGCTAGCAGTTTTGACCTCTATTCTATTTTGATGGTCCTGGTTTCAAAAGGCCATGTCATGTTTTCCAGCTAGAAGAACTGAATAAATACTTTCTTTTCCTGTGGACTCCCCCAGGTTTTACCCAGATCCTGGTTCAGGATTATTCCAAAGAATTGCTAGTGTAAAACTGATACGCTGCATTGTTAGTGGAATTACAATGATTAACAGCTTCAAATCTACCTCTGAGGCCAGGAGGGTTTAATTTTTGTCCCTTACGGTCTTCAGAGACCCTGAAAAGAAAGTTAGTGAGACTGGAATTTGGAATTTAATGTGTGAAATCCAGGGGCCATCGTTTAAAACATCAATCCTTATTTCAGAATGGTGTTTGACAGGCTGCAAGTAATTTCTGCTTCAAGCGGTCTCAGGCAGCAGAGTAGCCCAAAGGTCATGTTGTTCTTATCATGGGTAAAAGAGACCTTCTTCATGATGGATGACTGCTCTGTGTGCTTATGATGCTTAATATATTAGTGATTTCAATTCACAATTCCATTTGTCCAACAGTTTTGTCAGGGCAAACTAAACTACGGTTAGGTGCACCTGTGCTGTGAAAAAGGATGGAGTTGTTGTGGTAAATCCATCATAAGACCTGCAACGCAGTCCCAGTTGCACATACTGGAGCTGGGAGGAATCGCTTCTACAAATGGAAATGCCAGCCTGCAGGAACTGGGCCAACAATTCTTGTGTTTTCACTGCTGATCTTGACCTGTGCTGGTGATCACAGCTGAAACCAAATGGATTGCTGCCTCCAGTGTCATGGCATTATGTAGAGCAACCCTTAGTGTGTCCTTCACCAGATTTATCAGGTTGGGAGCCTAAGGTTACCTGTTCTTGGCTAGCCTAATCACCAAAACTGGAGGACCACAGACAACAAACACAACTCCTTGTTTCAGATCACTTTGAGACACAAAGATTTCAGCTGGCTTTGTGCAAAGCACTCAGGGTGTAATACCACCACAGCTGCTACCTACCATTTTACCCTCATGCTTTTGATAGAACTGAACGCAAAAGCCACTCCTCTGCAGAACCAGACACAAAAGTAATAAGCAGTAGTATTAGTTCAGAGGGTCTCAGAGCAAATTTGCTTTCTCTTTGCCACAAACACAGCTCATAAGCAAACCTTTATAACAATATACATTGTTCTTGCTTATTTGAGTAGTACGTCCTCCTGAGAATATTTCTGTCAATGTCAGTGCAGCAAAGTGCTGTTTAGAAAAGAGGGCTGAATTTGCGTCTCAGCTGTTAGAACTTCTACATTTACCTCCTCACTCCTTGTGCTGCTGATTATATTTTTACATGCAGAAATGTGGTAAAAGCCTTATTACTCTCCCATGTCGGTAATCATATGTTTTCAAAAATGAATGAGTGACATCCACTAAAAGTCATACTAAATTCAAATAATTTTTAAATGCACACTTCATTCACCAGCATCATGCTGTCTTTGATAGATTTCCATCTCTACGTATTAGCTCTTTTGGCACCTAGATTTGCATTTTGCAAGATTTGCTTTTTAAATGGCCAGCTGTTACCTCAAAGTTTCAAAGCTCTTATAGCAAGAGACTTTTCAACAGGAAACATAACTTTCCACTCAGTTTTCTGAAAGATCTGGTTTTCACTTCCAGAAGTGGGCAGCCAAAGCTCTATGACATATTACTTCTTCACTGCATGCATCCCTAAAAAGAGCTATTTTTTTTCACTGTTGGTCTCATGAAAAAAAAAGTAATTCTTTTCTTTTTCAAATAAACATGGATCCATGGTTTTATAAATGGGGGAGGATGGAATGATGTCCTTTATTTCAAATGAGGTTCTGTGACCTATTATAGACTTATTGCACAAGCTTCTATGGGATGAAAAAAGGACTGGTCATTCCAGTTCTTCAACATCTTTGGGAGAAGTTATAAGGTGGAGGAAGTAGAATCACCAATCTGAAGTTCAGAAAAGAGGTCTTACCAAGTTCATCAATGCACTTCATAATCATTATTTAAAGTAAGAGACATTGATCCTGTCCTTCATACATATATATAGGGCTTTCAAATAAAGGCATATATAGGGCTTTCAAATAAAGGCAATAGGTGCTCTGCCTTCAGAACGACTGAAAAAGCAACATTTCATATGTTGCTCTTCTGTCACACCAAATCAAAGAAGTTTGACACATGAAAATGGGTATTCAGTGACACTGTGTTCATAAGGGACAAGCTAGTGTGTAACACTCGTTCTGAACAAATGTATCCCTACATTTGTTTATGTAGGGATAATGGAGGTATTTTTTCAGAATTCAAATATGTTTTACTTTGTTGTTATTTCAGCTTTTCATGTGTTCTCGGGTTTTGGTAAGTTCCTATGTAAGGTAAGGGATTCACATCTTACACAGGCTGAAGTCTTCTGTCAGGCAGACCACCACATCTACAAAGAAGCCTCCCTGAATGTTCTTAACATCAAAGTGCCTCAGCTTGGGTCATCTGTCAGTTCCAGTTCTGAGAGAAATACCTCTGTCTCCAGAACAACTCAGCCCATAGCTCTTTTGTAAGCCTTGCCAGAAAGGTTTGGCAGGGGATACATCTGACCAACCTGATTCCTAACAGGGACAGTAGCCGCCTTGGAGATCTGAGTAAACTCCTATACTTCTGCCCTGACCTACTGAATTGCTGTCGTGAACTAAATTTTTGCCTGTTCATTCTTTGCAGACATTGATGAGTGCTTGGTAAACAACGGTGGCTGCGACCATTTCTGCCGCAACACGGTTGGCAGCTTTGAGTGCAGCTGCCAGAAAGGCTATAAACTGCTCACAGATGAACGGACTTGCCAAGGTAATAGTTCATTTATTCTACTCTTTGTATAACAAAGATGATATTTTCAGTGGATTTTTTTTGTGTGTGTGTAATTAAGTCATTTGTACTACAGGTTTAATCGTACTGTCATAGGAAGTAAAGTTAGAGAAAGACCTACCAGATTTCCATTTTCTGAGGTGGGGTTAGAAGATTTTTTTAAATGTCTTGTTTCAGTGTTTTTAGTAGTTTGTTTCAGTGTTTTTAGTAGTAGGAATGCC